AAACTGAAAGAGGGGAGATTTAGGTTAGAAATAAGAAAGAAATTCTTTACATTGAGGGTGGTGAGGTACAAGCACAGGTTGCCCAGAGAAGTTGTGGATGCCCCATCCCTGGAGGTGTTCAAGGCCAGGTTGGATGAGGCTTTGGGCAACCTGGTGTAGTGGAGGATTTCCTGCCCATGGCAGGGAGGTTGGAACTAGATGATCTTTGAGGTCCCTTCCAACCCTAACCATTCTATGATTCTATGATTCTATATCACCCACTTCCTTCTTGGTTTCTTATCTACCAAGAAAATACTGTATGTATCTAACCACATGTATATTAAATAGCATGCTGAATGTAATAGTATTAAGTTTCTCATTAGCTAATGCAATCCAACCAGCTTCCAATATGTAAAACTGGTGAGAGTTTTACAAGCAGAGTGTTAAGCTTCAAAGGTGATAGTGAGACAGACATTTGCAAATCTAATGGTCAATCAGAAATACCTGCACTTTCAACTTAGCTGCATCCATCTTCTTCCGGAACTCTTTTTGTAACTTGGCTTTCTCAGGAATGTCTCTCAGCTCCTTGCTCTCCAGCTCCTGAAGCCGCTTTTGTGTTTCAGCCAGTTCCATTTTGGCCTGCTCAGATTCTTGCTCCACTTTAGTTATCTTCAAAGAATATTGTCTGCTTACAGACTGAGCATCCTTACCTTAAAGACACCATATCCAAATATTTTAAAAACAGCACGCTAATTAGCTGAAATGTAATACTTACATTTCTACTTACATCTGCAGTTGAATCATTACTTACTTCATTCAAGCTAAACCAGTCATTTCTGAGATGTTTTAAAACTGTAAAGGAACATACAGTACCTTTCTAACTCTGAAATACAGATAAAGGAAGGAGTCTTAAATCTGAATTTTTCATGGTTTACCTCATGTCACCAAATAAAGTGCCATCTGAGGGCAAATGAAGTGAAACTTTTCTGTGTACTGCAGTTTTTGCCAAAATGGTTCTTCTGTATTTCATAAATTTTGCTTTTTCCAGAAGAATATACCATTTATTTATTGCTCAACTTTCAGTCTAATAATCAGTAAATAACTTTGGATTGTGTTTCTACTCTCTGACTTGCCCTGATTGGGCAATCTTTCCTAAAGTACTATTTTTGGGGACACAGAATCTTTCTCAGTGCCAAACGACAACCTCAACGGAAGGTATGCACAGGAGAAGAGTGTGATTGAAGGGGCTGAGCAAAGAGATCCTTACTGTCATCATAAGGCTAGTTTCTGGCAGGCATGTATATACCAGGATAGATGTGTAAGGGATGTAGGCTAACAGGGACACTAACCTTTTCCCTCATCCACTTCTGACTCCTGCTTCTCTACTGCAGTGCTAGGAATACTTACATTCCCAGCATAGTGATGTATCTTCTCTCCTATCCCAGACACCATGTGACAAATACATGTCCATGAAGAGAGGAATATCACTGAGCATACATGAAAAATTACACTATTGGCAAATAAAAGCAATAATCAGCAAAGCACAAAAAATACTTAACAAATACATCTGCGCATCATAGCAGAGTAGGCTGTAATCAAAATTTACAGCCTTCAGCGCAATCATAGCAAGCAATTAATGAAAATGATGAATCTTTAAGTTATTAAAAGTACTCTTGCATAAGATAATTACATAAAAACTAAGACATGCAGGACTTCAGAAGTGTTATGCCTTTTGCTTCTGAACTTCTTCATTATAATTTCCCCTACAGTAGCCAGTTACCTGTTCTTACTAATTCCTTAATAAGTTCCTCTTTCATTTTGATGTTAAGTGCAAGTTCTCTCATTTTTCGCTCAGCCTCAGTGAGTCTCAACTCTGAATTCTTTAACTTCTGCATGTTAAAAACATGACTTTTCTGGAGGCTGTCAATCTCTTCACCTTGAAAGAAAACAAAGCAATATGGACATAAACATCTGGAATACATCCAAAAGATAGTGCTCTGGAACACTGAACGTGTGGAGTTCTTCCATAGGTCTTTTCCCTGCCATATATCTAATCAGGAAAAGAAACGATGGCATGCACTAGCATTTCAAGACCCTAAGTGGGAAGAAAAATATTCCCAAAAGCATTTCAGTGCATCTCTTATAAGAAAATAGCATTTATTTTCTTTCATTGAAGCATTACCAAATATTTATATCTAAACACATCTTTTTATGCGTGAAGTGCTTTCTGGCTAATAAGTGTTACTTTAACATTCGGGTCACTGACATCAGTTTCAGAAAGGGGAGGAAGAAGAGAATCTTGAAAGCTTATGTTGAACTAAAACAAAAAAAAATACTTGTATCAAATGCACATCTTTTTCTGGGAAAAATAACTACATGTGCTAAAGACACTGTTGCACATTCTGATACTGTAATAAGATTTGCTCTCATGACTTCCATTTTACCTGTGGGTGTGTCAGTCTGTAGCACAGATTTGTTGGATAAATCAGACTTGTCTACTTGACACTTGATGTCACTTAGATCAGGAAGAAAGCAGAGAGAAGCCTGTTTTCGTGTCCATGTTCTGTTTATGGAATGCCTAAGGAATAATGAAAAATATGCTACATTCCAGACACACAGAGATTTTTTTTCTTTAAGCTTCATGCTTAACAGAGAAGAACCCCAAACTCATATAAGCATTTTTACCTTCTTTCTGATCTACTTCCCACCCCTCCACTCTCCTCATCTTTATGGTAGATTCTGGCCCCAAAACAAGGATTACGCAATCTTTATTAAATCAAAAACCTAAGCTTATTAAACTTATTTTATAATATACCCAGTTGATCCCATAAGTGACATCACCAATGGCCTCCTATTATGGCAGGATTAGTCGGTAATACTACCTTTGCTATACGTTTGTCTGTAAAAAAACTAAAGAATAATAAAAAAATTACTTAAATGAGCTTTTCTTTTTGCTGCCTGTATTTTCTTCCTCTTCATTGCTCTGATCAGAGAGGTGGCAGTGAAGGACTTTATCCTGATCTTCTATGTTGCTCAGTATCATCTGGCTGCGAGCACGGAATGCTGCCATTACCCGAGCCAGGGAGAAAGCTGGGGGGCTGGTATACACCTGTCAAAAAGAACACAAAAAAAGTGATGGGTAAAAACATTTACAACAATTTAGCAATTCCTTAATCGCATTTAAAAAAATATTCCAATTTAAAAGTCTGTCATCACCTCAGCTTGTAAGCAAAGTTACAGAGCTTTTTTCCGTAACAACTCTGAATACCTTTGTAACAAAGGGGTTTGTGAGGGCTTAGAGCACTTCGTCCACATGTGAAAGAAGGCACTGTTAGCAGCTCATTGTCCAACGTATTCAATGTATCAGTAAGAATAATAATTAATTTTTGGTAATGCCTTGTATTTGAACCCTCAAAACCCGAGGAAAGCACCAGAAAATATTACAGCTTAAGTGCTTGTAAGTGACAATCTTAAGCCTGAACATTTTGGACAATTGTGGCATAGCATAAGTTGCAAGCCATTAATGAGCGATTTTTCAGGATTTTCAATGGGAAGCTAAACAGCATCCGAGAAAGCCACCATAATTTGTCACATCAAGCCTAACTATTGAACTATAACCATGTTGTGGGTTAGGCCGTTCCGGCAACCAAACCCTACACAGCCGCTCACTCCCCCTCCCTCACCCCCAGGGATGAGGGAGAGAATCAAAGAGGAAAAAGAAAAGAGACCCGTGGGTTGAGATAAGAACAATTTACTACTACCGCTACCAATATATATACGTACGGATATGTACAAGGATAAATATATACAAACAAGTGATGTACGGTGTAATCCCTCACCACCCCTTGACTGAGGCCCGTCTCTTCCCACAGCTGCAATCCCGAAACAGATAAATCCCGATACCACAATCCCGGATGAACGGGAGGCCCGAAACAGAGAGTGAGAGAGAGAGAGAAAACACCCCAAGAGTCCGAAAGTGAGAGTCCCGGAAGGGCAAAAGCCCTTCTTTCTGGCTGACCCTCACTTTTATACTGGGCATGACGCTGCATGATATGGAATACTAATTGGCCAGTTTGGCCTCAATCCTATGTTCCACCACAAATCACAAGGGAATCCGTGGCCCCCTTGTCCTGGCTATGCTCCCCCCTATCCTGTTGTGCTCCTGCACACTGGCAAGAACACAGAAAGCTGAAAAGTCCTTGAGACCTCAGTGTCAACTATAAACATCAGCTTGCTATCAACATTCTTCTCAGAGCGAGCCTCTGAGTAAAACCAAAACACGGAGCTCTTCTAGCTGCTCAAAAGAAGAGCTAACTCTGTCCCAGCTAAAACCAGGACAAACCATTACAAAGGAAAGGAAAAAAAACTGGGGAAAAAACATTTGGGTAGACCTTACCTTTCGGGTCTCTGTCCCTGAAGGCGGGTGAAGGGAGTGTAGCAGACTCTTTGTCAGTGGGACACTGTATGGCCTCCTTGCAGATGCCACAGCAGCTGGCCCCTTTCCACAAGCACTTGAGGAGCTCAAAGTTTTCACATCTGTAAAATTCTCTAGTTTTTCTTTTAGCTGATCAATAAGCATTTGCTGTTCCACCATTTTCTCATTCTCATGGGGGAAAAAACAAAGCAAAACAATTGCTGATGACGAGCTCTGTATCAGAGTCACCATTTCTAAATTCCTTACAAAGGTCATGAATGCTATAATTACTCACTGACCCTAAATTCTTCTGCAGTGCACAGGCAAATTCTGCAACAAACTGAAAATTCTTTGACATATCATTAATCTAACACACACACCCCAATTCCAATAAATTTTAGACACATTTTTGTCCTGAAAGACCTATCCCAGTCACATTAGCTTATCTACGCATCTAGTGAGAAACAGACGACATACTTAGCAGCCCATGCTTGCTTTATATGGATGTTTATGGAGGAATAAAATGGAAATTAAACAAAAATGTTGAAATAAAACACATGGTCTGAGCCTAATTAGTTAAATATGTATACAGGCTTCCTATTTCTCTTTGAGCAGTTGCACTTTAAAGATTATTTATATTAATAAACATATACATGATCCCAGGATCCTTTGTACGGGCTACTTCTTTTTCTTCTAACAAGCCTCAACTTTGCTGGTGATGCTGGTTTGGAGAATTTACTTACCTGCTTCTCCTATAGCAGCCTCCGTACATTGTTCAAAACTACTTATCGTTCCTAAACTAAGTCATCCGTAAGGCTAAGATTATATCCATTTTCAAATCCCTCTATTCTTTTCAATTCTTTTCAAAGTACTAAATTACATATTCCTGTGAATAAAACTTAAAATATTTGGCAGAAGCATTTGCTTTCCATTATTCTACCTATTTTATATGTTTTTAAATAAAAGTGACAGTTTAGTCGATTAAGTACTAAAATGGTGCCTGAGAGCTCTCAAGCTTCTCTCCTGTCTCTGATTTGGAAACACTCATGATCTTTTACCTCTGCTGTGACTCCTTCTGTTCATTACCTCTCCTTCGTATACTCTAGAATTTATATACACATTATCTCAGTGTAATAAATTGGCACTATGCTGTACAGGTTAAAAAAGAATAAAATATCAATCTAACCAGAAGTGACAGAAAAGAAAGAAAGTGACAGAGGGAAGAAGAAGATGGTGACTAGTATACTTACCTTTCATTCATCGACTCTGCCCAAGCCATCAGCAAAGAGGAGGAAAAAGGAGAAAAAGTAGAATAAAGAGAAGAGTACTAGATAGCTATACTTACGCTTTTCTCCTTTAAAAAGTCTAGATAAATTAACTATCATCCACGTGGCAGGCAACACCAGGAGAAATCAACTATTTATGGTCTCTTAGATCTTGAAATGTTATACACTTACTACCCATCATAATTTCATTAGCAAGCACAAGATCTAGAGAAGGAAGGAGGCAAACAGTGTTTCCACCATGTCACTCAGTTTTCTCTAATAGTAAACGCTCAGAAAATGAGGATGAAATTCTGTCTTATAAAGTCAAAAGGGAACAATACTCTAATTCTTAATAAATCTGTAACAAAATACGTTTCTATACAACCTTTCAGTTAAAGCATTCTATAGGATCTTTATTGTCTTTTTTAGATTCTAAAGAATCTTTAAAGGCTTTTCAAATCTTAATCCATTAATCATCCTAAAACTACTTAGCAATAATACACGTCTGGGGAGAAAGGTGTGTGTTATGCTTTTGGAAACATGGAGGGGGGGTGAATGATTCACCTCATGTTATACAGGAAGGCTGTGGCACAGCTAGACTGATACAGAATTTCAGGAATTACACTATTGTGCTTCATCCACTAGATGAACTCAACTCAGTAAGTGACACAGCTCTAATTCAAACAAAATGTGCATAAGATGACAGGTAGTTATGTCTAAAAAATCCTGAGGGACCTGTTTTGAAATAATGAATGCATTCATACAGTAGAAGGATGGTTCAATACAGACAAATATAATGTGTATCAGAGGAAAAATACCTGTAATCTCTGTGTTTCTTGAGCCTCCTTTAAAGATTCCAGTTGTTCTTCATTTTCCTGTAGCAATGTCTTTATCTGTTTCTGCAGTATCTGCAGTTCATGATCCTTCTGGCTGAATACTTCTTCATCCATAACTAGAGCCTGCTAGATAATAAAAAAAAAAGTTCAGCTACGGAAAAGAGAACATTATTCTTCTTACAGTTGGAAAATTAAAAACAAAACAAAACAAACAAAAAAACCCAAATCAAAACCAAAACCTCATTTGTTATTAAAAGATGTGCCCAGAACTGCAAAGTTTTGAGGTATGTGAGACAAATTGTCTAAGTGGTTATCTGTGGTTTCTACCAGCTGTTTCTTCTCTTTGTTTCATCTATTGATTTTCTTCCGACAAGTTTCTTCCTTCCAAAGGGAATAATGTACCCATAATCAAAGCTACTTTATTGAAGTAGATATCTAAATCCAATTATTCTCTTTAGGGTGCTGTGAGATGTAGCCATGAGATGTCAGCATCAACCACAGGATTAATACACTTCTCAAATGAAAAAAGAAGGACAGCTGTCCTCATTTTGCAACTCGGATTAGGCTGTTAAGATTAAAGAAACCATGAGAATGCTTCTTCAGGTGTTCTTGTGGATAAATAATCCAACGCCGATTGAAGGAGACTTCCAAATGTTTTTACTCTTCCTGAAAGCTTTGTAGAAGCCAAATACCAAGTATGGAAATGTCATGTCTTATTGTTCTAAAAGTGGATACTTCCGTACAATTAGCTTACCTATATCTTTCTTCCAAGAAAAGACAACTCTTATTAGGTTTTAAGAATGCACTCAAGAACCTGATGTTTCTTTAGCACTTTTTTCCAAAGTCTATGTACCAACGCAAATGCTCTACTAAACATAGTAGACAAGTGTATCCTGTCTCCCATTGATGCTGTAGCATCATGCAGAGTTAAGCCAACTACAGAAGAAAAGAAGCTTGCACAGATGACAGCATGCTGACAGAGTGGGGCAGGATGAATCATAGAATCATAGAATTTCTAGGTTGGAAAAGACCTTAGAGATCATCCAGTCCAACCGTCCCTAATCCCTCATTAAACTATGTCCCTAAGCAGTTCATCCACCCTTTTCTTAAACACATCCAGGGATGGGGACTCAACCACCTCCCTGGGCAGCCTATTCCAGTGGCTGACAAACCTTTCAGAGAAGAAAAATTCATTACAAATACCAGTTCCACCTAGGTAGAATTTTGTTGTTATTTAATTTACCTTTGGAGGATTATGTTTACACCTATTCCTTCTATGGTGCATTAATAGATAAGGGAATATTATTTATAGGCTGTAATCAGGTCTCCCCTCAGCCTCCTCTTCTCCAGGCTAAACAGCCCCAACTCCCTCAGTCGCTCCCCATCAGTTTTATTTTCCAGCCCCT